CTTCTGACATTATTATTTTAATTATTAATAAAAAATATTTAAGATATGTTTTAAATTAAAAAAAAAAATTATAGAATTTCACTAAAACTATTAAAAAAATTTATTTTTATTTTATTTCAGATAACATTAAATATTTTTTCAAATAAATATACTTGATCTCAAAAATAATACTAGTTTCAAGCATACTTGTTTTTTTGTTTTGTTTTTGAATGATTATGCAAATATTCATAAACTAAATTCTCCAGAAAAAAATGCTTGATTATCTTTACTACTGATAATAGTTTTTTATTGTTTTAATAAAATAATATATACTTGTTAAATCTATAAAAATTAATTACAAAAAATGATTATTTCAATTTTTGTATAAGAATTATTTAAATTTATTGTTATTAATTATTGTGATTACCTCAAATAATATGGAATCAGAAAAATGCCCAATTCATCGCATGGATATAATTGCATTCGACCTTAAATAAAATACACACAAAGAAGACAAAATATTGTGTCTGAGATGATCAGAAAATTGACCTTAATAATCTTTCATTAATGAATGAAGCTAAAGAAATATTATAAGAAATGAAAATGAAATCTCAAATTCTTAATTAAGAGAAAAACATTAAACATTTAAAAAATTTTAAAATGTTACTTTCTCAACTTTAAGAATATAAGATGACACAGAAAGTAAAATCAATAAATTAATTCTCAATGTGGAGCATATAATTAATTAAATAAATTCTTAATCAAATGAATTAAATAATTATTAAGAGGTCTATTTTAATTAAGCTGATATTTTAATGTTATCACAGCATTATCAAAGATTTTATCTCCAGTTCCCTTAAATTATTTGAAACTATGGCAAAAATTCCTTAATAACATTAAATTATTGATTCATCAAAAAATTATATCATTATAGTAAAATATGTTAATTTAAACAGAAAATTAGAAAATAAGAGAGTTTGGCAACCATGTAATTATTTATTTAATTTTCATTAGAAAACCCCACATTTAGATTAGAAAAGTGCTAAACATAAAAAAGAGATAATTATGCTTAATTTAAACACTAATTTTTAAGGGACTAGATTAGCATGTGTAAAATGTGTTTAAGAGAATCCTATTTAATATACAGATCTTGAAAAAGCTAATCTAATATGGTAAAATATATAGGAATAATCTCATCAGTAATTTAAATAAAATAATGAAAAAAGAAAATGAAATAATTTAAAAATGGAAGGAAAAAATGATTAAACCTTAAATTAAATGATCAATAATATTCACCAACATTCTTAATCATTAAAAAATGATAATGAATCTTAACCAAAGATCAAAGAAAAATAAAATATTTATTTAATCTTGATGAAATTGGTAGAATAAAAGTGAATCTTAATTAAAAAATTAGCATAAATTGAATCTGATTGTAAAGTTAATTTATCTAAAATAGAATTAATTCCATCCAAAAATTTATAGATCTAATTTATAGAATTTGAAAATCATACTATTTGATATCTTAATAATATAATTTAGATTGAAATTAATGAAGTTATTTAAGAAAAGGATAAAAAATAGAAGAATTCAATAAAGTAAATATAATCTCGAAAATAAAGTCAAATAATTATAAATGGACTTAGAAAAAGAAAATTAAAGAACAGATTAATTAATAAAAACATTTTTAATCAATGAAAATAATATGTAAACAAAATTTAGCTCTTGTCATTATAGAAATTAATTAAATGAAAACAAATTTTACAGAATAGTAATAATAATTGAAAACGAAAGAAAACTTAATAATGAGTTTGAATTAAGACAAAAACTTAATCTCTCAGTAATTAGCTACTTTAAAATAAGCAAATCAGCAGTTGGAATTGAAAAATTATTCATAAGATTTATTTTTTTCAACAAAATTTAAAAAAGATGACCTTAAACTTTTAGAAAATGGAAGAATAGCATATGCAAAAAAAAATGTATGGTAGGTGTCCATATTCGATATTACAAATGCATCAGCTTTATGCTTTATGATGGTTTATGCTTTAAAGATGTCATTTCTAATGTATAGAGGATAGGTTTCTCAATTAGGACATGGATATAGTTTATATTTATACAAGTTACTATGTGATGTGCAAGGATGGGTTTATTTATTCTCATCATGATAAATAAAAAAGAATGGCCAAAGATTAGGATTCAAATTTTAAGCAGATAATATTATTGAGATAGAAGTTGACATCAAACATTAGATTATCAAACGGTAAAATGAAAAATAGAAATAATCATATGTAATTTAGTTACATATATATAGAATTTAAATATAGAAATAAATAATGAACTCTACCCATGTTTTAGAATAGCTTCATCGAAAGTATTATTACTTCAATGTTAAGTAGTTTAAAAAAATACAAGAAATCTATAAAAATTGAGAAGCGGAATTGAGAATTAAAAAATAAAAATATAAATAAAGAAATATTATTATATAGCAATGATGTTTAAACTAAAATTGAAAGCTAATATTGATAAAAATTAAGGTAAATATGATTTAATGATAAAATATAGGAATGAAATTCTAAAGCTTTAATAGATTTGAGGCAGCTCTACAATGTTATGATTTTGCAATTTATAAAAATCCAGAAAATGTTGATGTATTTCACCTAATTTAACTTACCAAGGTTTTTTGGTAATTATTTTTATAAATATGCAAAGTCAAAGTCTATCAATGTCAATTTATGTTCGCTTCTGAAAATTCTCATTAATGCGAAATCTCTCTTTTATTCTTCTTTCTTAGTATTCTTAATAGTAATAATTATAAAGTATATAAATCTGCAAATATGTTCTATGATAAAATATTAGTGTGTTATACTTTGGATGATCAACTTACTGTGTGAATAGTTAACCCTATAGGCAATTAATTAAAATTAAATAATAATGAGTCTATGTCTGATTTATTTCAATTATTTATGGAATTCAATTAACTCTGAATCAAATCCCTCAGATTCAGGTATCTTGAATGGAAATCTTTAGGTATTAGTGTTGGCTTTCTAGAGTTCTTAAATAATATATTAAGTTCTTCTAAGAAATATTTGTTTTACAAATCAACCTTTAGTAATGGTTACTACAATATTATTTAATTCATCACACGATTCAATAATATTATGAAGAATTTGTTATCAGCTGCCTCTATTAAATATAGATTCATTTTTTTTTCAACCAAATGATCTAATTAAAATTTTCCAATTTGCATAAAATAACTATCTATTTTATATATATATTATTCTTAATATTTAAAAAGATAATCAAATCAATTGTTAAATTTCAAATAAACTAAGAGAAGGAAAAATTTATCTTAGTGCTTGTTAATGATCTAAGATTATTTCTTATTTATATCTATATATTTTTATTATTTAAATGTCTAAAATATATGATATCTAATTGAAATGAGAATAGAAAAACGACAAAATTAGTTTTTTGAAATAAATATATATTATTTTAATAAATATATGTCTTAGTGAATATAATATTGATACTCATTAGTTTATAAAAAATGTTAATTTACTTAAAATGTTAAATTAATGAGAAAGGAGAAAACTAATAATACTTTGGGGGAGGATTTTTTGTGTAACTAATGATAGCTATTTATTTTAATAAATTAATATTTTAAAAGTAATTATCAGAATTATTATAATTTTCCAGAAAGTTCTAGAGAATTATAAATTTCTAGATTTTTCTATCTTTTGATTTAAAAGTTGTTGAAGAAGAGGAACAATCATTTAATTAATCAAACAAGTAAAGAAGCTAATAAAATAATGTCAAAATAAACAGATATTGCAATTGGAATAGATTTAGGAACTACATATTCATGTGTAGGTGTTTTTATTAATGATAAAGTTGAAATTATAGCAAATGATCAAGGAAATAGAACTACTCCATCTTATGTTGCTTTTTCAGATAATGAAAGACTAATTGGAGATGCTGCGAAGAATTAAGTAGCAAGAAACCCATAAAATACAGTATTTGATGCAAAGAGATTGATTGGAAGGAAATTTAATGATCCAACAGTATAAAAGGATGTGAAGCTATGGCCATTCAAAGTAGAAGCTGGAGCAGATGATAAACCATTAATTGTTGTTAAGTTCAAAGGAGAAACTAAAAAATTCCATCCAGAGGAAATTTCATCTATGGTTTTAACAAAGATGAAAGAGATTGCCGAAGCATACCTTGGAAAGCCAATTAAAAATGCTGTAATTACAGTTCCAGCTTATTTCAATGATTCATAAAGATAAGCTACTAAAGATGCTGGATAAATTTCAGGTTTGAAAGTTTTAAGAATAATTAATGAACCAACAGCTGCTTCTATTGCATATGGATTAGATTAAAAATAAAAAGGGGAAAAAAATGTTTTAATATTTGATTTAGGTGGAGGTACCTTTGATGTTAGTTTATTAACAATTGATGAAGGTATATTTGAAGTAAAAGCTACATCTGGTGATACTCATTTAGGGGGAGAAGATTTTGATAATAGATTAGTAGAATTTTGTTGTATGGAATTCTAGAAGAAGAAAGGAATTGATTTAAGATCAAATGCTAGAGCTTTGAGAAGATTAAGAACTTAATGTGAAAGGGCTAAAAGAATATTATCTTCAGCAAATTAAACATCTATTGAAATAGATGCTTTAGCTGAAAATGAAGATTTTAATTGTTCAATTACAAGAGCTAAATTTGAAGAATTGTGTCTAGATCAATTTAAAAAATGTATCCCTCCAGTAGAATAAGTATTAAAAGATAGTGGAATGTCGAAGAGTCAAATTCATGAAGTAGTATTAGTAGGTGGATCAACTAGAATACCAAAAGTTTAAGAATTATTAAAAGATTTCTTTAATGGAAAAGAACTTAATAAATCTATTAATCCAGATGAAGCAGTTGCTTATGGTGCAGCAGTCTAAGCAGCTATTTTAACAGGAACTGGTTCATAAAAATGCGAAAACATTGTATTATTAGATGTAACACCTCTTTCATTAGGTATTGAAACAGCTGGTGGTGTTATGAGTGTTCTTATTCCAAGGAATACAACGATTCCAACAAAAAAGAGTTAGATTTGTACAACTTATGCAGATAATTAGTAAGGAGTTCTTATTCAAGTTTATGAAGGAGAAAGGTAGATGACTAAAGATTGTCATAAATTAGGTTAATTTTAATTAGATGGAATTGCTCCTGCTCCAAGAGGGGTACCATAAATCGAAGTTACTTTTGATATTGATGAAAATGGTATTATGAATATTTCTGCTGAAGATAAAGCTACTAAAAAATAGAATAAAATTACTATCACTAACGATAAAGGAAGATTATCTAAATAAGATATAGATAGATTAGTCAATGAAGCTGAAAAATTTAAAGCAGATGACGAGAAGATTAGATAAAGAATCGAAGCTAAAAACTCTTTAGAATCTACCACATATCACATCAAAAATACTATGAATGAAGAACAACTAAAAGATAAATTTTCTGCTGATGAAAAAAGATAATTAACTGATTTAGTTGAATAAACTTAAAAGTGGCTTGATTCTCATCAAAATGAAGAAGCAGAAGTTTATAAAGAAAAGCTCAAAGAATTGGAATCTAAATTCCATCCTATTATGTAAAGAGTCTACACTTAAGCTGGAGCAGCTGCTGGAGCCGGACCTTAAATGCCAAATATGAATAGAGGAAATGACTCAGAATTTAAGCCAACTGTTGATTAAGTCGATTGATCTAATCTTAAGTGATTTATTATATATAAATATTATTTTAGTATAATTTTCAATTTTGCATTTTTATTATCGTCAAGTATATTAAATTAATCCAAGTGACTTATTTTAAAAACAATTAAATGATTTTTTGATGAAATTTTATTCTATTTTTTTTACCATAATAAATAATCAACAATAATTAAAATTCTTATCATTTGTCTTTTATCAACATATTTAATTGTTTTCATATTATTTATGCTTACAACCCTAAAATTCTTTTAAATTCAGATTATACATCAGAAATGCGTTAAGTTTACATATTTTTAAAATCTTTAGGGTAGAAAATGACGTTTGATCTATGCTTTCTAAAAATTCGTCAACTTTTGGTACAAAATCAACTCCACTTTATCACTTTGATTAGATGCCATTAATTATTAATTCAATCATATTTAATATGAAAAAGATCTGAAATTTAATGCTCAAAATACCCTCTCAAAGCTAAATAACAACTAGAATGAATTAATAATAAAATAAATTTTTGATAAAAAATGCCATTTATTAAGTATTAATAGAATAATCAATAAGAGATAAAATTAATTTTTTTAAATATGCATCAATTTTAACTTCTTACTTTCTAAAATTAATTACAAGATTTAAAACCAAAATATGAAAAATATATAAATAGGAACTTTAGAATTTTTAAAGATGATAGATAACTAAAACTAAACGAGAATTTCCAAACTTTTAAGGTATTAAATTGCATATACCATTAAATTAAAATCTTTTTAAATTGTATATAAATATTGAAATTAAAATTATCTTCCTAACCAGTGAATCGCAAAGTTATTTTATTAGATAAGATTTTAGTCAAAAAAATTTGATGCAAGGGTTATAATCAAATGATAAGATATAAATCGAGGTGAAGGTTTGAGTGGGAAATGTGATCTTAATTATGGAAAAATCTTCAAATTTAAGAGAATTAACGTTTTTAGATTTACTTTGTCTTTGTAAATCACAACAAGGCAATTCTATCCTTATTGTAGTTTGTGAATTCTACATTAACGACAGAAATATTTGAATAATTTATTAAAGATGCTACCCTTGATTTTACCTAGAGAGTAGAGGATATACTAAAGGAGGTTGTAGGCAAGCCCTCAGCGATATTATTAATAGTTTTAATTTAGTCCTGTCTATTTAACATTGTTTATAATTGATATTTTCTTCTAATGTTTAAACAATAAGTATAACGGATGTTGTAGAATTTTTTGACAAAAGATAGAATTTAATTTTATTATTCAAAATAGTGAAAGAAGTTTCTCAAGGATACAAGTTTGATTTTGAGCAAGTTCTTTGAATTTAAGCATTTTTTTGTTTTAAACTTTTATATGACTTTTTGCTTTCTTATGTTATGTTAATCAAATTTGTAGAAGCAAGCAAAATTATACAATTTAGAAGATGCAAATTTATTTAAGTTAAAAGCATTTACCTTAAAGAACTTGCAAAATAAAATTGTTGAATCAATAGGGGGTTTATTGATGTTAAAATCTCCATAGATAAAAACTCTTTAATCGCAGTTAATCAGATAGCAACCATTTTTTTAATCCTAGCTTAATTTTTTGAATCCCCATTTTTAATTGAAGTAAAAATTGATGAGACCTTCCATGAAATTGATTTAATAGATTTATGATACTGAGATTGTGACACTTTTTTAATTCTAAATTTCTTTGTCATGTAATGTCAAATGAATCAAATACTTCCGTTAAATCATTATAGGAGTACTTCTTGTTTTTAGATAGATTTAAATTAAAATTAAATTGGATATTGTTAAATAAGAAAATAATTTTTTTAGAGAATATCTAATAGAAACCTGGCATCAATATTTATTTTTTTTAAAGAAATCGCTATTTATTGATTAAAATCATTATTGTACATTCATTTTAAAAAGTTTGATTCTTAGACCCTTTGACTTGACGAGACTTGACTTATGCTTAGATGGATAGATGGTTTGTTGTGTTTCGAAAAGAATAACCTCAAAATATTGCCACACAAATTTTATAGACTAGTTGGAATGAGCATGTATTAGTCTAGAATTGTAATAGTAAAAATAATTATTCATTAAATTTTAGTAATTAATAAAATTCTTGTCCTCTGAACATCATCTAAAGAGATATTCTAAAATAACTTGACTTTTTTTACCTTAATTATGTAATGGATAAATTTTAATATGATACTACTCAAGAAATATCAGAATTAGGCTAAAATCTTATGATGGGATTAGGTGGATTTGGAATATTACTATTAATTTCTGGATAGTTTATTTAATTTTTAGAAATACTTGATATTTTATAATATCAATCTAATCTAAAGTTTATAAATCTAGATTACCCTTAAAATTTATATATTTAATTTTAATCATCAGAATTTTTATCAATCATTCTCTTTATTTTAACCATATAATTGAATACTTTGATGATAAATTTAAAATTATCGATGCATATAACACAGTAATTAATTAGGAATATCTTAAAAGTAAAGGCAAATTTTATGAATATGAGATTAATGCAGATTTATTAACCAATAATGTTTTGGGATTGCTAATATAAATTTTAATTTTTCTTTTCATTTATTTACTATTTTTTGTTTATAAATTTTTCTAAAAGCAAACTTGCTTTAAATCCAGATAAGTCTATAATTTAGGGTTTGGGGTTGGGTTGGGTTTGGGGTTGGGTTTGGGGGTTGGG